AATATTTATCTTGGCTATTTTATATATTTATGTAATAATTTAGAGAAAAAAACTTCCTTCTATTGTTGAAAAAAACATAAAAATCTCCCTAATGGAAAAGTTTGAATTAGGTTTTCCTATTATAATCTCTTCTGCATCCTTCAGTTCAGAAGAAAGAGGTCTCAATCAATCAGAAAAATTAAGTGCTTAGCAATCAAACCTATTTTCTTAGGGTCTTGTTGGTACCCTGTTGGTACTTTGAGATATCTCTTCATACTGTGACCATAACTGAGGTAATTTGCCTTCAGATGTACCCATTTTACCACTATTTGGTCAGAAGAAAAGAGCTCAGTGACATTATTCAGAGTCATGGTTGATCTTTCTCAGGTTGATTTTGACATCACTCAGAAAAGGAAGTGTGTAAGACATTTTCTGTTATGCACCTAGGCAAAAGTATATATTCTCTTCACTTTCCTGCTTTTTTTTTCACTAAATTGTAATTAATATTTCATTACATCTGTAACTAACACTAAAAGTGAAACACTTCATGTAGCTAATTTCTTAAATATGTGTTTGCTATAACATAGGGTGGTTATTTGCTGCAAGAAAATTTCTATCATTGGCAAGTTTTAGAATCAAGAAGTGTCAGAGTCCACTGCTTTAGATTTAGCTATTTGTAAAACCTTGATAACTAGCAAATATTAATAGCCAACAAATACTTTTGAACAATTTTATAGGACTCTATTTCTGATACATTTAACAGTTATTTTCTGGTATTTCAAGTTACAAGGTAAAGCATATACTGCTAGGTCTCCAGTCTTGGTTATAAATATGTATGTATGTGTAACTTCAAGTGCATGTTTTGTAGCATGTGTTCATGAAATTAATTGCCTTTTTATTTTTTTCTTCTGATTTTATACCTACCCTTTGGTGTCTCTGACCATTTTAAAGCTCATTGTTTTAATTCTTTTTTATTCTAAAGTAAAGGAAGATAATTTAACAGTCAAAATTATGAAAGAAACATTTATATAAAAATAGATTTATTTAAAAGTTGGTAGTTCATATTGCTCACATTTATAGCTTTTGTAAGAGTCTCAGCTAACTTCCGTTTGGGATTTTTTTTTCCAAAACCTAGGGTTCTAACTTTGCTGCTTCCAAAAGTTTTGGTTGGTTAGAGCTTCTAGTGAGTCGGTTGCAAGATTTGCTCAACATGAATTGAATTCACTGTGAGGAGCATGCAGTAAAAAATCAATACTTTAGTAGGTTTGAAACTGCATAGAAACATTTATGTAAGCAACAATGGATGACTATTCTTCATTGCAAAGAGATATAATATAAATACAGGTTGTGAGATTTGAAGTTACGTGAGCTCTTGCAATTGGCTTTCTAAGATAAAACTAAGTAGCATCACTTTTAGGAGTTGAAGCCCAAATTTTGCCTTTTGGAGCTAGATCTCTGTTTGCAACATCAAAGGTTGATTTTGTAAGTTGGAAGGATTTATGTGAGTGGGGAGTGTATCATTACAGTACTTCATTACTTTTTCAGAGACACTTAATTACATATTAAAAATACTCTTATGCAAAACCACTTGCTGCTTACATGGACATCAGCATCTTTTTCTTTCCCCATATTTATTTGGTTTTACAAAAGATTTCTGGCTTGTCTGAGATGCGCATTGTGTCTTTTTCTCCATTTCTCAGCTGGGAATCTCTTCTGATGTGAAACGTATGTTTGGAAGCTTGTTAAAGATGCTTTTGGCATTTTTTACTGCCTTCCTTTTGAGCCTGTTTAGATGGGAAAACTTTCCATTATTTTTGTACTAGTTTACTCTTTCCTTATCCAGATTACTCCGTTGAAAAGTAACTTAGTGTTCTCTGGAAATTCTCTGCTCTTTCAAATCTTTTAGCCTTCTTGATTCATTAGACATATTTTGCCTGTCTAAACATGCCATTTGATTTCTTCAGGCTAACTTCTCAAAGATGTATTTTTCTTTTGTGACAGAAGGAAGCTCTTCAACGATTGGTACTTTAGCAATGAAATAGACTTCTGAAAGTTTATGGGTACTTGAAGGGAGATCAAATTCCTTTATTTATTGGCCGTCAGATTTGGCAAATACATCTCTGTAACTTCTATATTGCTATTAATATAAACATGAGTCCTAAGAGACTGCAATGCCTTCTTATAGAGCTGTTATGTGCGCATTATCTATGTATATGGATAATATAAGATATAAGGAGCTCTTCTCTTTGGCTTAATATGTGTTTTTTCTTTTTTTCTTTTTTTTTTCTCTTTTTTTTTTTCTTGAGCAGATATTGCTAAATCTGCTAAATAATGAAATGGTAAAGTTTGCTTTCTCTTTTGATCATGGCTTTAATTTTGAAAATTAAATTAAATTTAAAAAATTGAAAATTAAATTAAAATCATCATATTCTTTTCTATACAGAAGCAGGAATAGTAAAGTATATGTAAACAGTCTCAGCATTCAGTATAAATCCAAACTCTAAATTTTGGGAATGTCCCACAAAACCCTACTTTTTCCTGATATTTGCATATATTTAGCAGGCTAAGCTAAGCTTCAGACAAATACTTCAGTTTAGCTTTTTGCTTCTGTAAGTGCAGTTTTTTTCTTTGAAATCATTGAGACTATGAATGTTTGCCTCAATGACAACTCTTAAACCTTTGGATGTTTCTGTAAAATAAATAAAACACAGAACAGTTCACTGATGCATCATCCGTTTGTATCTGACGGTTCTACCTGAAATATCTGTTTTTTCCCCTGCCATGATGCCATGTCAACAGGGGTTTCTGCATTTTTTAGGTTCATATGAGAAAGTTTGGAGTGCTATTGGGTTTGATGTAAGGCTACACAGTGAGAGCTAAGGTGATACTTGTTCCTAGTCGCATCTCCACATGATATAGTGAAAGATGAAAGCTAGTCATGACAAGGTTCAAAATGTCCACTTCTGTCTGGTTGCATGCTTATGTTTCGTTTTCTCCCTGGCAGTAGTTTTACATTATAGTGGTAACATCACTTATGTAAAATTTAGTTGACTGGTGATTTGAACAATGCATTTTCAAAAGTATATTTTATGATATTATTTTAAATAATTGTACTCTCTTTTCTAACGAGTTTTCTTCTTAATTCTTTTAATCGTTTAATCTCAAATCTCAAACAATCTCTTAATCATTTTTAATCTCAAAACTTTCCCATTTGGTCACTACCTGGCCATTGAGCTACTGCTCCCTCTGTGTGTTGTTGAACTTGCTTACTGTTACTCTCCTAGTGTTTTTAAGGTTTGTTGTTATTCCATGGTTCCTTCTGCTAATGTTCAGCTTAAAAAAAAGGATATTTTGAAGTTCAACTTTAGGCAAAGATAATGCAGAAAAAATATCTGGAAATGTTAATATGAATCTTAATATGTTGTTAATATGAAGTCTGTTAATCTGGATTCTGTGTTTGAAATCTATACTTTCTTTTATTATACCTGTTGCACATTAGCTACTGCTTCTGTTACAGGTTTTTTAACACCTGATGTTAAAAGCCTTCAAGAATATCAGGGTATCATTGGAGAACTAATGACAAGCTTTCAAAAAAGTCTGAAAAAAGCAGAGATTAACTTTCTTTTATATTTATGACATATTTGTACACTGTTTTAGGAAGGATTTAGGAAGGACTGCACACTCTCTGCCTTGTGCTTTTCCCACAGTGAAAATCAAACCACTTCAGGCCTATTCTACTCTCAGTAGAGTTTCCAGCAACACAGACTATGGTTCATCATGACAGTAGTTGAAAATTATAAAGTTTTTGGCGTTAATAACTTTCACTGAAAATTTGAGAACTGATTTCTTCACATCCTTTAGAGTATGTATATATCTGCTTTATGTTTTTCTTAAAGTTAAGACAAACTTGTGTGGGATTTTTCAGTAAAGAACTGGAGCATTTAAATTGTAATGATATCTTCTCTTTGCACTGGTTTATACATTTGAACATTCCATTTAGCTCCTGCATTTTCAGGCTCTTTTTTTTTTTCTCTCAAAATAAAGGTATATTTTAGTGTGCATTTACTGCCAGAAAAGGGTTAGGGAGATAATATACCCTAATATATATATATATACATATTTATAAATGGACTGGTGAACATTATTTGACCATTCATTAGTTTCATTTATTCTGCAAATTTGTATTTGGTTTTGGGAGATCTCATTATAGCCTTTTGACTTCAATTGTCATAATAATTAGTTTAAACTTCTTTTATTTTTTTTTTCTGAAGAATTTCTAGATCTTCAGAAACATCACAGAGAAGACCACTCTGTTAGAGAATTTCTTTTCCTTTTCCATATAGGAAGTCCTTGCTACTTCTGACAGCTAAGCTGCTGGAATTGCTTATTTTTTCTTGTGTGGCTTGTGTTCCTTGAAAAGGGAAAAAAAAAAAAAAAAAGGAAAGAAAAAAAAACCTTGTTTTTTTGCTGGTGCCTCAAAGCTTTCCATGCTATTACAAGTCTTTTCCCCAAAAAGGAAGGAATAGCTTTTGAAGTATACCTACTATGAGGGGAGATTAATATATGTGTGTGTGTATTTAAATAGAAGTCCTGTTGGTGATGCTGCTAGTTTTACTTGTTAATATTAGACCATTGAACAAATATTTAGGTGGAAGAAGCAGAGTCTTTTGGATAAATTAACATTAATTTAATTGTCTCTGATAATGTCAGAAGCACGGGATGAAGGACTTAAGAAAGGAAATGCAGGAAAAGATGGGCCTTTTAATTTCTCTGTGATATTCTACCCCTGGGCTTTTTTTATTCATCATAAATCTGTTTGATCTCTTTGTTGAACATATTAAGAGACCTTGTGTTGGATACAAATAGCAAAAGAGTTTCTGAAGTGGTGGCTGCTAGGAAACTGCTAGGAGTGGAAAATGTTGGCCATTGATACAGTAACTTTGTGCCTCACAAAATTAGTATAAATTGTGAGAGGAGAAAATGATTGTCGGGAAAGGGTAGCGAAGAGAAGGGATGGATAGAAGGTATTTTTAATAAGCAGGAAGAGAAAAAAAAACAAAAAAGATAAAAGAATAACATGACAAATGGCATGAACAATAAAATAAAAGCAGGAGTTGGAAGGTGACCACTTTTCACTCTTGACCTATTTGTTCCCACAGAAAAAGAACTGAAGACTGAGAGACAGGGACCTGAACTGGAGCATGCTCAATGGCACTTTATAAGGATTTGAGAGATTGTTAGAAGACAATTTATAGTTGTAAACAGCTGCTTATCTAATTGTGATGCCTTAAGCAATTTTATTTTTTTAGTCCTTAAGATAGAAAGGTTGGTCTGGAGTCCAAGCAATCAAAATAAGTGCAGATTATTTTTTCCAGATAACACTTTATATTTTTATTGTCAAAGAGCTAACTTGGTCATTATAGAGACTATGCAAAGTAAAGCCTAGTGAAACACTTACCTTTAAAAGTCCAAAATAATAATATTCAGTCAGTGAGTGCTCAGTTCACTGATGAACTCAAGTTCATCTAATTGATATCATGTATTCATATTTCTGTTATAGCAGTCCAAGTGTTTGTTATAGACCCTTTCTCATCAAATTTTTCTTCTCTATTTACTTCTGAATCAGGTGTAAGTAGTGCCTATGCCAAATATTACATAGACCATGTTATGCCATGTTCCAATCAATAGTCTCTTTGCAAGCTTTTTATAAGTTACTCTGTAAGTGCCTTCATATGGTAGGTAGTAGAGAGAGAAGAGGGGAGCTAAAAGCAAAATACCAAATTGGAATAATATCTGATAGGAGATGAATGATGAAACAGTTTTTCTTCTTGTTGTTTGGGACCTGTTTGGTGCTATTTTTCCTGACACATGTGAAATTGAATTTATTATTACTGGTCTGTAATACTTTGAGCAATCAAATATATAACACTGGCATACCGTTCTGGGGCTAAATTGAGTTTTTGTGTGGCTGAATGGAATGCCCATCTTGGTTGGATTGAAAAATGTCATAAGGCTTTTTTTTTACCAAAGCATTTCTGCCAAGTGCATACAGGAAGTGGCTTTGGCAGTCATATCCAAACAAGTAACTTAATTTCCTGGAATTTGCTTTTTTGCAAAATGTGGACTGTAGGAAAGAAAGTGTAAAGAGGGATACTTAGGGGTAGAGAAAGGATCGCCCCCAAAAGCATCTAAAAAGAAATTTGACCAAACCGTCAAAATACATTATCTGTTTTCCTAGGTTTAATCACAATACCTTCAAATAGTTTAATTTTCAAATTGATAATTTATTTATATAATAATACTGAGAAAAAGCTATTGAGCATACCTATGCATAATTATTTTAACTAGGATCCATTTTACAGTGGTCCATTTAATATCAGGAATGATAGGACATAGCATTTATTGGCAATGCAACCATAACATAGTTGAGATGCAAGAGAATATGCTGTATGACTGCACAGGTTATACAGGCTGATAACCAAGCACAGCTTTACTTACACTTGTATTTACTGACATAATTTTCAGTCTAAAAGGCGATAACCATGTTCTTGTAAGCGTATCGACAATTTATCTGGCTAATCAGATGCTTTTTTCTGTTCTATAGCAAGTTCCTTTTTCCTAGTCTGTCTTGCTGGTTTTGAATCACTTATTATTTTTTGCTCTGCTATTTCTACCTGCTCTCTTCAAACTAGACCAGAATATTTCAATAGCACTACCTGCAAACTTCATCCGAATGTGGATAGCTATAGTATAAGCACAGCCTTGATGTTCTTATGGTCATTATAGAGTCTAATCATAAATCTTTTTAAGATTCTAGAATAGTAGTAGTTTGATGGTTGGTTTGTGTCAGATGTTTTTAAAGGGTTGTTGCAAATAAAGCACTATCTAGCAAAGGCTAATAGGGAAAGCACAGTACATTTGAAAAAAGTAGAAGTGATGAGTCATAATGTAATCAGATGGAAATCTTGGAAAAAATGCCATTTTCTTGTAAAAAATATAACTAAATGCTGAAGTGTAGAGAGAAATGTAAATACTTATGATACAGGAAAAGTCCTACAGAAAATAATGCGATACAGCTCATAGTTAATGGAGAAATCAGAAAATTGATTTTTTCTCATACCTTTTAATAATTGGTTTAGCTGATTCCTAGTAGAGGGACAGCATACTAAACTGCTTAGTGTAACTGTTGATTTTGTAGAAATTATTTCAAGTCATTAAAAATTGCTGTTAATGGCTGTAGTGTAGACGGGAGGAAAAAATATTTTGTAAGCAGGTCAGTGCAGTAATTATGGTGAGACTAAACATAGGCAGTCACTGTGTGTCCCTTTCCCAAATGGCAAAACCTGTACATCTTACGTGATAACAGCTGCTACTGTAATTGTAAGCTGAGTCTTTTTTTAAATTCCTTTAAACATTTTACACTTAGTCTAATCAACTATTATTGATTCTGAGTTCTCATGACATCCTGCAGTGTTCACTCTTTCCTTTTTTGCATAGAGTTGTTATTTGGCACCTCCATAAGTTGGCTTGTTTGCAGTTGTGCCCTCTTATGTCAGTCTTGTTATTTCTGAATATACAGAGCTTTTAACTAAGAATACTTTCTGAAAAAAGCCTGAGCTCACGCTGACATCTGTCTCAATATGCTTCTGATTTTTAACTGAATACTAGGAAAAGTGTATGGTCTGATGATGTTGCTAGTTGACTTATGTTTGCCGTTTGCCATATTTTTCCTTCATGTTCACTGTTATTTGTAGGCTTCCATTGCTATGCTGATCTAAATAATAAATAAAACAGTTAGACTCTCCATTGCATTATGGAAGCAATACATCACATTTAATATAAACCCAGACTGAGATGCAGGGCATGTGTTTTTTATTTCAATCTTTATTATTTACTAAGTTTGTGAACTTGTGCAAGTGACCTCCTCTCTCTGAACCAGTTTCCTCAACTGTAAAGTAAATTAAGGTTGCTTATCTTTCTTGATCACTTTGAGATTTCATATTCAAAGGCCATCTGTAAGCGCAAATTCTTGTTTTTCTAACATTGAGGAGCAGGTCAAATGACTTGTGAAAGTAACATAGTGAATTAGAAGCAGAGCTCTGTATAAAACCTTGGAAGCATTGGTTCTTCATTTTCAATCTGCGTAACTTATTAACTGCGTAACTGCAAATTTATTGATAATTTCTCTTTGTTGCTGGCTAATCTATTTGGGAATCTTTGGTGAAAATCTAGGCTAGATTGGCTGTTTAGAACTCTGTGCCACTATGGGCAAATATTTCTGGTTTAAAATCTTTCATATTTCTTGTAAATTCCAGAACTAATCTGTGTATGAATGTATTTCATGCAAAGCCGTCTCTGCTTGCTCTGTGCTTACTCTTTGCTTATTCTGTTTACATCCAGCTTTTGCTCTGGGGGGAAAAAATTCTGAATATGTCAGAATTTTTTGAATACATAACTGAAATCAGCTTAAAGTGATGGCCAGTGTTTGGAAACAGAAAGATAATGTTTCAGTTCTCTGTCAGGAGCATTAAAAATACTTAACATGAGAGAGTACTAGAATAAAGTCGGAGTGTCAAGCAGATGTCCCTTTGATTTTAAGCAGGTTTATTTAATTAGGTAAAGCCTAATGCAAGTGGGCTCATAGCTCTAAGATGCGAAACATTTAATATTGAAGTAAGTTTGTATGACAAGCAATTTCCATAATATATTTTGTCCAATTTTGATCTTAAGTAAAACAAATAAATTATACCCATCAAGTAAATATAGCATACTTGGAATTTGGAAAGAATTGTCTTATTTTTTAATACATAGGTGTATTTTGATACATATTTCCAGGATGCAGTAACACTCCTAATTCTATGTTTTGATATAAGCAGATTTAGTTTGCTTATGTAAGATTACATTCAATATGTGATTGAATTTCATTCAAATAATTCACATTCCTTGTCATGACAAGGCTTTTTTGTTGTTGTTTTTGTTTTTGCCAAATTTAGCTGCTGAGAGCATTGCCATTTTCAAAAACCCAGAGGGTTACTTCTGGGTATTTTTTCTGAATTTTAATGCCAGATCTGGTATCCACTGAACATCATAAGAATAATTACATTTTCTTTTTTTAAAAAAAATATACTGTGGATGGGATATACAGAATAACTAAACCTGAAAATAATTTACAGCAGACTCTACAGAATATTCTTTCAACCAAGGGTATGAAATTGGCCAGATGTTATTGTGCAGCTGTATGTATGTTTTATAAATGAAAAACAACCTTAATAATGAAAGTTGTCTTCTAATATTTTTTTCAGTTGTTCCTCATAAGGGCAGAGAAAGACCATTTTCACCTCTGTGCTTGTGCATGAGTGTATGTCGGTGATTTACCTATCTAATTTTTATGACAGGGTTTGGGCACAAAACACTTTGCCAATGATTGTTCATTTTCAGGATCAGGATCTCAGTTTCTAAATTAATTTACTTCCTATCATCAGTGTCTAGAATGGCATAAACTGCAAAGCCTGTAATTGTGTCAAGTACATATTCATCCAATAATAAGCGGCCTGTAAAATACTATAAACTTTTGGGGCAGCACGGAGTTTAAAAGATAAAATACTTTTCTATCCTTTAGTCCTCCTCTAATAAAACCCCCAAGAAATTGCTACAGATGCCCTGATAGTGTTCTGGAAAACAAGCAGTCTGCATATTATTATAAACAAATAGAAGTTGCCAAATCCTAGGCTCTGTTTTACCACACTGCAGTATCAAATTGCTCTCCGACTCTTCTTTTATGGGGAATGGTTGCTGCAGATAAAGAAGAGAAACGATTATTTTACTGAACGTGGCTGTGTTTCTTATTGTGGCAACAGGACTTAATGTTAATGGGATAGACTACACCAACCCATAACTACAGGATAGAAGGCACTTCCTGCCACTACTGTCAATTTAAGCTGGAAACCTCATCAAAAAGTTGAATTAATTTTATCTTGCTGAGGTTTCAGGGATTAAGCTTGAAGTTACTGTGAATGATGTTGTT